TAAATACACCCCAGCTAAATACACCCCAGCTAAATACACCCCAGCTAAATACAATAGAAAACAGAAGAAAATGGTTTCACCACAGTCCGTCTCGTGAAAATTCAACCAGTTATCAGAAGAAAGCCTTTTTTACTCTACAGGCGTGTATCGGATTTGTTGTGTGAGAAGTTCAGGATACGACTACTCCTCCATTCTATATGAACATGTGGTTTTAGCTTAAAGGCATTAATGTGATGGACTCACCTTCAAGCTGTGATTGGTTTTTAATTTAAAACAAGAACTCAAATGCAAATTTGTTTTGAGACACAGCTTCACAATCAGTGTTGGGAGTAACGACGCTCAAGTACAAGAGCGTTATTTTTCTAGGTAACAGAGTAATCTAATTACCGTATTTTCCCAACTATAAGTCACACTTTTTTTCATAGACTGGCTGGTTCTGCGACTTATATACCAAAGTATGTATACCGCGATGCTGCGGGCCGGCTCCTGTCCAGGTTTCAGCTCCTCTGCCCCGCTGGGAGGGTTTCAAACATCACCATCCTCTGCTGGAGGCCGTGACGCGCTGCTGCGCCCTGGTTGTTTATTCCATTTTTGTTACCGGTACTTGTCTTGCAATGTGAAACGCTTGGTCTCAGATTTTGTAAGAAAAATAATAAAATTTCCCCCCAAAATGTGACTTATATATGTATTTTTCTTCATCATTATACCTTTTATGGCTGGTGTGACTTATACTCTGTAAAATACGGTAATGACTTTTCCCGTCTTTACCATTATTGGGCATGTAACGTGATGCGTTACTATAACGTGGTTAAATGAAGTACAGCGGCTGACCGGAGCCAGATTGAGTGACACCAGCATCCAGACATCTGACATGTCCATTCTAGATAGGAAGCATCATTCAGTCACAGATAACGGCAAAGAAGGAACGTAACTGTCATGATGAGGGTAGGAGGTTTGGACCCAAAATGCAAGAACCCAGATCTACACAGGCAGGAGCGGTTGCAAAAATAAGAATCCTTTATCTAGGATGAGTTTCAAAAATCCAAAGGGCTGGAATCTAAGCCTCACATACCAAACCACTGAAAGACAAAACAAAAGCTCAAACGTATGAGCAGGAACCTAGAACAGAGCTGACATGACACAATGGACCAACAAACACCGAGAGACGAGACGGGGTTATATCCACAGGGGCCGGGTGAATAAGGGAACTGGGAGCAGGTGAGACTAATAAACTGAGAGGAGGAGCAGAAACAGGCAGGGGAGAAAACCAGATCTAAATCCTGTAAAACAAAGCTACTAAACTAAAATACACCTGAACACTGTAGAACGAAGACACAGGAGATCTAGAGATGAGTAAACTAATGACCCACATGGGGAAGGAAACACAACACACTAAAGGAGATACGACTAGATCATTGGAACATGTAGAAAACTAAAAACAAGTGAAGTGACTCGGGGGAACATGAGGGAAACCTGGAGGGGGCTGGCGACCAAAGGGACACAGAACATGACAGTAACTGCGTTAAAGAACATACAAGTAATGCCACAGTTACTTTGCTACGTAACTAATTACTTTAACAATGTGGTAACTGAGTTACTAACTCATTTACCTTTGGAAAAGTCATGTATAAGTGGACTAATTACTTTGTGAATGTAAGATGCCCAACACTGTACATAAGTACTCATTACATTTCATCAGACGCATCAAACCTGCTCCTTTTCTCAGTCCTTGCAGCAGCGTTTAGAAACCATCTACCCCGACCTCCCATCTTCATTATAACAATAATTATAATAATAATTTATTGTTTCTTTTACCTCCCTTTGCTACTGTTAGCTGCCTGTTTCCCTATCCCTTTTCCTCACAGTCACTCTGTAAATCCTGCTCTGTCGTGATAAAACAGAGGATAGTTAAATGCCTCGGAAAGTTAAGGACCCGGCAGGGATACTTCCGATAGCAACCCAAATAATGAAAATGTAATTCTGCAAGCGTCATTAAGTCAGAGATAGGGTGATTACTGAGTGATCCATTAAAAGTGATGGCAAAAGTAATTACTTATTCAATCAGCGAGATTTTATGAGAAAATAAGATGGCATCATGTTGTACGCATCAGTACATTTGTAATACTTTACGTTGGTATCGGTCAGCTTGTTCAGCGACGAGCTAAAGCCTTCAGCAGATGTCTTTTGTACATCAGTGGGGGTGATTGTAAACCACGCCGCTGTGGCTTATGTAGGATGTGAAGAACACCAGTGTTTTGGGTTTCTTGGGACTTGCAGGAGGGACAACGGAGGACATAACGTATTGGAAATCAGTCGATTTCCCTCTGGGATCAATAAAGTATTTTTGAACTGAATTGAATTGACCAGCTCAGTGGCCTAGTGGTAGAGTGTCCACCCTGACACTGGGAGATCAGGGGTTCGACTCCTGGTCGGGTCATACCAAAGACTTTGAAAAAGTGGGACCCAGTGCCTCCCTGCTTGACACTCAGCATTAAGGGGTTGGATTGGGGGGTTAAACCACCAAATGGTTCCCGAGCACAGCTGTGTCTGCAGCTCACCGCTACCCCAGGGGATGGGTCAAATGCGGAGAACAAATTTCGCACACACACCTGTGTGTGTGTGACAACTAATGGGACTTTAACTTTAATTGAAATGCCGTAGGAAGGTGATGTACCCCACTCTAACACGAGGACGTCCAACATGCCCACTGACAGTCTTCAGCAGGTGGTTAATCAACACAAGTTGGTTCATAAAAATGAAAGAAAGCCTCCACATTTTGAAGAATGGTAGTCTACTTGTCCCCATGCAGGGACAGAGACTTGGAAGGTTTTTTGAACACTTTGATGACGATCAGAACTCCAGCTTGTCCTGCATGGAAACGACGACGAGCAGGAAGGGACTAGTTTATCTCGTTGATGTAGGGCAAAGGTCACCTTAACTCAGACTGATTATGTTTGAGGTGTGGCTATTGCATCTGAGCACGTGCAACAGCTTATGCACCACTAACATATTAACTACACATTCAAGCTCTAATTCACAAAGAGACTGCACATGTTTAGCAAGGAAAAAAGAACAGCTTTGTGTGACTTGCACATATTTTAACGGAACAAATTAGGAGTTTGTCCCTTCCTGATTTCCTCAAGTCTGGCAAAGTCACTCTCATTCTGTGCTGCCAACCAAACACAATATCTCTGTACTTGTGGATTTTGGCCGCATTTTACTGATTTCTTATGACCGTATTTAAAGGAAAACATGTCCATGTGTAATATTTATGGTCCCCTGAGAGGTGATGGTACTTGCTTAACATGAAGAGCGACTGAGAACAAGGCACAATCTGCTGCACTGCTGCCATCAGGCCAAGAGAGCTGGCGTGTCGAGAGTGTGTGAATTACTCGCTCTTCTGGTGATGAATGCAAGATTATTGCATCAACAAACAGTCATTGTGTGTGTGTGTGTGTGTGTTTAGTTAGGTGGAAATCTTTTCCATATTATTTTTATTACGTTCACCCAACATAATATTTTTGTGTTTAAATTGCACAAACAAATCATGTACTTAATGTTAAATTTACCCATACAAATCTAGTTGTGCTGAACAATGATAATTAGGTCAAAGGAACCAAACTATATCAAGTTGAACAAACATGTTTACATTTTGTTCACTCAACAAAATTCTATATTGCTGAATCATAGCATTTCGGTTAGGTGGAAATCCTTTCCATAATTTTATTACGTTCATCCAACAAATTTTTTCTTTGAGTGTGTGTGTGTGTGTGTGTGTGTGTGTGTGTGTGTATTCTTGTATATACTACATACTGAGGACCATTTTGACCGTTTTCCCCACAAAGTGAGGACATTTTTTTGGTCCTCACTTTTTCCTAGAAGCTTGCCAGTTGGTTTTGGAGGTATGGTGTGTTAAGTTTTAGTTAAGGTTAGAGTTAGATCCCCAGTGAGTCGTGGAGGATGGCTGCTTATACTGAGCCAGGATTCTCTGGAGGTTTCTTCCTGTTAAAAGGGAGTTTTCCTCTCCACTGTCGCTGCATGCTTGCTTAGTATGAGGATTGCTGTAAAGACTCTGACTCTAGTCAGTGACTCGATGCAACCTGCTGGGCTCCTTATATAGGAAACTTGTTACTGATTGGCTTAATGACCTGGCCTGTATTGTTTACTGTGTGCAGGTCCTTCATATAACTCTAGTTATGATTCAGCGCTATATAAATAAACTGAATGGAACTCAACATCTTGTTTTTGCTATTTTATGTTCATCATGATAAAAAACTACTTTTCATTGCAGCAGACATACGTTCCCATCCAGAGTTACTATGCACAACCTGAATGTAATTTTACTGATGGCTGCCCAAGTCTGCCCAACCCAGTTTCACTCTTCCTCTCTACTTTTCACTCTTAATCTTTTATTCCTACTTTTAAACATTTTGTATAATCTTTTAATCTCTTCTTTGGATATCACAGACCTGAATGCATCCAGATTAATGCTAGATGATGATGATGATGATGATGATGATGAGTACACCAAAGTTAGAATGACTGTAGTAGTGAAAACACAACACACAGCCAAAGACTAAGCAGAACCACAACTGACTGCACAGTAGTGAGCCTGTTATCCACAAACGCAGCAGAATTAGAACAGCAATGGTTTCCTTCTGTGTGGACTGCAGGCACACCCACAGATCAGGTCTGATGCTCTCTGTGGCTGAAAGGACCAATATGCAGATTAACCCTCAGCTGTTCTAATCCAGGTTCCTCCCAACGACTCAAAGTACGCCACAGAGAACCTCCTATCCTTTAAATCGAGGGCAAAGAGACACATCTACCAAACCAAACTAATAAAGGAAGGCAATAGTGTCATCTACCCTGGTGTCATTTAGGAAGACTTTAATGTGTAAAAGAGAATTTACACAATTGCTCAATTCAAACCATATGTCAGAGTTTCACGAGGCTTCACGTTTCAAGTTGAAGTAACAGAATAATGCAAGCCAACTCACATCTTTAAGGCAGCCCATGAAGTTGTTGCTGACCGGTGATCCAGGCAGGTCTGCAGTGTTGGGGCTTCCTCCGATGTAGAAGAAGTCATCTGAGCCCAACATGGTGTAATCCTCCTGGGTGTACCCGGTGGTGGTCAGAATACCATCTACCGAGATGGTCACCTGGTTCAGGCGTTGGCCAGAAGAGACAGGACCAGGATAGAGGGAACGATAGAGCAGGAGTAGATAGAAAAATGTGAATGATAAGAAAGGAGATAAATTAAAATAAATGAGAGGAGAAACAAGAGAAAAGCTGGATTAAAGACTGGTGATAGGCAGGACTGCCCCCTCAGGTGTAACTCAGTGCTTACTTTGGTTTGAATCGGTCTGAGGGCCGTCACTGTGGAGTGCAGTCGCTACTGTAAGGAAACGGCACACGTTTGTGCTCATTTTGTATAAAAACAGTCCAACTTCAGTCAGTCAGAAACAAGACTAGGCTTTACCGGGGCCTCGACTGGATCAGGAGGGCCTAAAGACCGTCAACACACGCTTGGCTATGATTAGGATTTGGCTGTGTGTGATCAGCAAAGCTGCTCTTGATTCTGCTAAGCTGGTTCCCATTTACAGCGCCTTGTCTAAGAATAAGGACCGCCTCATCTTTAATTGCTTCAATTCTTCAATTTAGTGCAAGGTTACACATCTGTATCGAATGTTTGATCTGTGACAGAGTGCCAGGTAGAATGAGGAATAAGACACAAGCGCTGAAACAAGACGGAACATCCCCTCTAAAAATCCCCCTTTTGGTCGTCTTCAAGGTTCTCACCGGTTGTCCTCGGAGGCTTCTTGGAAAGCTCGAATGACATTTCTGCGTCTGAAACACCGACTCTGTGGTCTGATAGTATTAGAACATGACTAACCTCGAGGAAAAAAGGGTGTTTTATGCCACGTTGTGTGGAAAGCACTCTTGAGATCGTACTACAGCTTAAAAGATGAGATGTTCTAAATGTCACACAAGCCGTACGGTGCTGGTTCCACAAGCACCTGAGGAGAAACAAGAATAACGTACGCTGCTACTTTACCGAAGCTGTAAAGAACAAAATCCTTCACATTCAACTGATTACAATGCAGCAAATTGCAGCACTCAGTGAGAATGCAAATGCGTATCATTTAGCTAATTGTGCTGTTGCACCCATTGTCCCTTTACATTGTGACTGTATTTAGCCTTTGTAGCTCTGATGCTTTCATACAAGCATCCTGTTTGATTAGGGACTGAATTTCATGTTTGTGACTAATTTATAGTTTAATTATCCTAAAACAGCTGGCTTGGCTGAAAGAAAAGTGCTCTCGTCTCTGATTTGAGATGATTATTTGGCATAAAGGTACAAACACAACACCGTTGGCAGCGGCAGACATCGTTCCTAATTCTATTACCTTTTGCAGCATTACAAGCAATAATTTCATTTTGCTGCAATTTTATCTCTTACTTTCTTTTATTGCTAAATGTTGAAAGTCCAATGTGATCTTCTAAAGGCGAACATTTGCACTAATGATTGAGAAGTCCCATGTTCTCGTGTGACCCTAATGCAGCACAGCTGAATTCATCTTAGCTTTTGTTTTCTTACTCGCAATTTAGATTTAGGCTCCAAACAAAAGCAAATCCAGTCACATTCTGTTGCTCTGCATAACTACATGAAATAATAGAGATTTCATAACTGACTGAATTTAGCGCAGCAGAGAAAGGACCTGCAAAAATACCTGGCAGAACGTACGCCATAGCAACTGCACCCCCCAGATCTGCTCCCCAGGCCCAGTTCTCATCTTTGATTTTCACTAGATTGATGTTTTTGGTAACATTTTGGTCAACTCTCCCTGTACTTCCCTGTGTAACAGGGCAACTCATTTTTATGTCTGCTGTTGGTAAAAGAAACCAAGCGGCATGAAGAATCTGTAGCATGGTGGGGGGGTGGGTCATCTTTTGGGCATGGTGGCTGGGGGGCTCTGAGTGGGACCGACCCACTAATCCCACTGAAATGACAAAATCCTCAGGCTACGGAGGGAAAAACAGGACAAATTATCAGGAATGTTAAACATCGATATTCACTTCAGTTTCGTATTTTATCCACATCAGTCTCAAAATAAGGAGTCGGGAGACGTCATGATGCAAGAATACTCCCTGCAACGCCTCAGAGACTCAGGAGTCGACTAAAGCGCGTGGGGGCACCACAACAGCCAATGCTCTTGGAAAGCTTTCCTTGGGGGAATGGGCTGAATCCTACCGTTGTAAGGGGGGTGGGACTGACAAGCTGCTAGACATCTATTGAGCTTCCAACCAAAAGAGGAAACTAGAGAGGATCCATGCTCAAGATCTTTTTTAACTTTTCTTTCTATTTCCAGATTTAATCAGTACAAAGCTTCACCACAGCCTGTAACGTGAATTTAATTAAACATAGCCTCGGGCAATAGTGTCAGTTTATTGTGTGGTCATAGATTTGATCAGAGTAGAGAGAAAAGACACAGAAACGTGTCAAAATGACAAGAAAGCAAACACAGACCTAGATGGTCAAAAAGAGTGTTCACTCATCCGACTGGCAACATAACGATTTTAGATGTTAGACTGGTAGAAGAACCACCGCACACACGCCTGCTCAGCTTTAGGTGATGGTGGGTGGGACGAGCCTTTTAGCCCAACAATCTGGCCTGAATGGACTCACATTTAAATGTGGATTGCTGCCATCGTAAAATGTTATCGTCTTAGAGACCCTAACACCACCGCTGTCTTTAGTACAAGTATTTATACGTCCCTGCTGAAGGTTATTCCTGGTTAACCCTAACCCTAACCCTGGATTCACTGGACGTACCATGTTTGCTACCTTAATAACGGGTCATACAGATATTTTTATAACTTTTATACAGAAAGACGCAAAACAAATAGTAAAACGTCAAAAAAATACCGAATTTGGGATTGTCGCTGGTTGTCGGCTATAATCATCAAAAAGAAAGAAATAAACATTAGAAATATGTCAGACTTGCTGTAAGGAATGGATTTCACTTGTCTTGTCAAGATATTCTCAGTTCATGACCTAACCTGTACATACTGCTCTGTTGTGATATCTTAATTTTATGACCAGAATCTGCAATTGTTATGTTGCCATATTGAATGAATGCTTCTGTGACCCCCCCCCCCCCCCCCCCCCATTCGATTTAGAGATTGAGAGAAATGCAACCATGACCTACTTAAAATGTTCCATGTGTGAGTTCATGCAGCCCTCTCTCTGGGCGTGACTTCTCTCTAACATTTTACATCTGAGCAGTTAACAAGCGCTTACAGGCCTGAGTCCAGACGCAGCCGCTCTGCAGAGTCGTGTTTGTGCTTTACAGATGCAGACCTCACAGGTGTGAGCCGCCCTGAGGCTGTTTCAGGTCTAAGGTTAAAACAGCTCAACATGTCAGACCATTCAAAGCTTTTGATTTCACCAAATCTCATGCTGCTGGAATATTTTTCTAATGGTTCCACAGAAGAGAAATGGCTTCTTGTGTTGTTTCATCCACTTTTATCAGGCACCTTCTCTCCCATGCTTCCTACTGAATAACAGCCAACACACTAACGACATGCTGTGTATGGCAAACCTGTCCTCGGTGGTCCTGCGGTGTGCTCAGTAGACCGTGTTACTAGCTCATTGACCACATCTCACTCTGTAACTCCATGTGGCTGCCGGCATCGTAAAGTGGATTAGCTTCTCGTAAATTAAATCCCGACTGGGATAATTCACTCTGCGCAGGTGATTACAGCCGCACCGTTCACACAGAGCTTGGTTAGTCTTGTCATCTTTGAAATGTTTGGACTTTGTATGATTTTCACCATTTTTTAGCACAAGGAGGGGCTGGAGAGCAAGGACCAGACCCAGAGCAGTTCCTTACCTGTATACACGACCACATCCTAGAACCATTACCAGAGTGCTGCACGTTCTGCATCTGAAACTGGCAGATGAAGTTTTGTTTTTTGCCTTTTGCAATACTCATGTCACATAATCGCTTTTTACAGTAAATGTTTTCCTTTCTTTCTCTCACAGAACTGCTTCAGCAGCCTTCCCTTCCTTCAGTTTCTCCTCGTTGTCTTCCTCTGACCAGTGAGCAGTTTAAGTGCCTCCCTGCTTACTTGACCACTTTCTGTGGAAATAAATGTAAATAGTTGGTTATAATTTCCAATAAAGCTCAACAGTTTATCAATGCTAACCTAACTGAAGCATGGCTGTCCAAGAAAAGGCTTCCTAACGCATCTTTGTTATTGTTGAACACGGTAACTTTAACCTCATTAGTGATGCAGGGAACACAGAAGCATCACTTACCCTCATGGTGCTACATCTGTTTATCATCTTGGATCTCTCATAGGGAGAATAATGAAATATGTAATTCTGAAATAGCACGATGCACATCTTTGGAACGGCTTCTATCTCTAAAAGCAGCTAAAGTCTTCCACAGAGAAGGAGAAACAAGTCCCATCCAGGGTTTGACTTTCATAGATGTCTAGCAGCTTGTCAGCTACCACAGCTGGGTGAAAATTACGTAGAAACGATGAACTAAGCTAACATCACAGGTCAGAAAGGAAATGTGAGACGTCTGGGCCAAGCGCCGTGTCGGCCGTGATTACAGCGTTGGGGAAGAAAGGGAGTTTTGGTTTGTAGTTCGAATAGGAAAAGGCTTGAAAGGTGAACAGAACTGGTTAGTACTCTTGTAAGTAGGGGAGTCAGACACAAAAATGGTTGTTAGTACAGTTACAACAAAAGTTTCGTTGAAACGACTGATTAGATTTGGTAAATTTAGCCGAGGTGGTTAGGCTGCAACCCTCGGCAGTTTTATTACAAAAACCAGGTCCAGATTTGAATTGAACATGTTATTTCATGTGGAAGGGGTTTGTTTTGCTCAGAAGGAACAAAATTCATCCATCCAGAGTTAACAAGGTGACACACGAGCCATGCAACTGAATGAAAGGATGGTGGGATAGATGGAGGTGTAAGGGGGACTCCATTAGACACAACACACATGAATTAAAGGAAAAGAAAAGCCAAATATCTGGCAAGATGCAGCAAAATAAGGTTTTAGGGGAGGAAGTACATTTCATGTCAGAATACCACAACACCAGACAAATGGGGAAAAAAGAGCTTTCACCGCTACAGCTGTTGGTTATGTTCAAGAACGCAACCTTAAATAAAAATAAAAACACTGGCACGTGTACAACAGACTGACACGTGCAGGGCTAGAGCAGCTGCTGCACATCTGATGATGCGAGGAGGCTCTAGCCGACAGAAACGTGCAAACATATCAGGTGGAGGTGGGACAAGATGGGACCAGGTTACACAAACACAGGTTAAATCAACAGAAATGAGGGGCTTTTATTACAGAATAGGGGAAGCTAAGAGGGGAAAGCAAGACGTCCACGTGTTGGTGAACAGACTGATCTGTGTTCCAGCGCTTGGATCGCTGGTCTCAACGCCCGTGTCCTCGTCGCCATTAAACACACCCAAAAATCAATTTCTGAGCCACAATTTCCAATTTTGTCATCGCGTCTGAAAGAACTGAGCATTTCTGATATGGGCCAGAGCGGCTTCGTCATTTTTGCCTAATTTGAGCCAAAAGACTCCAGAAGGATCCATCAGATCGACCGGCTTTCAGTTCACAACGCTCCTCCTTGTGCCGGACAGACGGGAAGATTTAGCATCTCCTTTCACCAACAAATACAAGTTTGTCTCCCCTCTTTATTTCTCCCATTGTGTGTTTTTCCATGTGGAAGACATCAGACGTGAGGTCACTGTTCTTTAGTATGTTAATCATAAATGTAAAGAATCAAAAGTAACGTAAGAAGTAATAAAAATAAAAACACAAGGGTGTGGCTAACGTGTCTCATGGCCTTATTGATCATATTAGGACAACTAATATATGTATGTATGTATATATGTTAGCCTTGATATATACATAAACATATATCCTTAATAATATCTCTTTGTAAGAAATTAAGAACAAGTGAGTTTTACATGCAAGGGGGTGAGGGAAATAACTAAAATAAGAGAATATGCGTTAGTATCGGTGTTAGTGAGAGGTTGAACGCACACAGCTCAGGTTTGGTTGCTTTGTGGTCGGCATCAGTGGGCAGATGCTTTCATGTAAACGCTGCCTTTCCAGTGAAAGAAAACGACCATAAACTAGGACCAAACAGAGTTATTAGGTCGGTGTGTCTACGGAATAAAAGAGAACAGACCATTTTCATTCTATCTGGATCCACGACTGCGGATGATTGCCTGATTAAGCTTCACTGTTAGATGATGAAATACAGCAGGTCTGAGAACAGCCCTGTCAAGATCTTAAATGAACTACAACAACTAATGGGATCAAGCCCTCAACTCAGGCCCGTTTTACAGCCAAGGCTTCGGACATTAAATCAAGTGTTGTAAATACATTTCATGGCATCATAAACCTTCTGAGAACAACCTCAAACTGCAGGCTTCGCCATCAAATCCTGGACAAAAGCAACTCTGGCCTCACAAATGTAGAGTTTAAAAACGTTCTTTCACTGGAATGGTCAAAGTCAAATATAGACCTTCTTCTTTTGTCAACTTGACTCAAAACTGACATCAAATGGTAGCAGACATCCATAGATCTTGGATTTTAGATTGTAGTGAAATAAAAAATACATTTTTAATATCACTCATTTAAAAACGGACACATACAATTTACGTAATTAGAGACAGGCAGTTGCTCTAGTAGGAGAAGCCCACATGTGGCTGGTGACTGGAGAACATGGTTATTTCTGTCTGGAGATGGGTTAGGGCCCCTTGCCTTCATGCAAAGACTCAATAATACATGTTTGTGTCACTTTTTACACCATTAAACCTGCCCACAGGTGAGCTTGCGCTGTATGTTTGTGAAGTCAATAACATACCAAATATTGACTCTTCTGTGGATATTTAAGTTTAAAGTGAAGCTATTAAGTTCAAATTATTCTTGAGATTTTGTTTTTACTTTCACAAAAAACATAAACAACATAGACGGCTGCCATCTTTATCCACTGAGACCTTTCAAACATCATTTCACTTCACGACAATGTTATTTTTATTTATTTTTTTACAAGTTTTACACCAGTGTCCATTTCTAATCGTGTCACTAGTCTGGTGAAAATGTGCCCAATGAAAGCGACTCGGCACCGGAAGCACTTTAGCCAGCTTTTGCTGCTATTTGTGCCGCAACGATCTATTTCAAGGCTAAAAACGGGAGTGAAGATGTTTCATTTCTGTGTTTGCATGAGCCATTTTTCCTCTCGGATAGTTTAGTTGTTGACCACATTTCATGAAAAAGGTCTATTGGTCTGCTTCAGAAAATCAGCTGTGTGCGCTCACTCATACGAACGATTTCAATTTAAAAACTCAGGAGAGAGAACAAGGGGCAACAAAACATGTATTTGTAAAAGGGATCAAATATTTTGCATTATTATTCTTTATTTCTTCATACGGATACAGTTGGAAGTCTATGGAAATGATTTATTTAGAAAACAGAAAGAAAATAACTGCAACAATTTTTATAAATATCCCAAAATAGCTGGCAAGTTTAGATTTTTGGGGAAGATAAAATAAATGGAAATAAAAAAGCTGTGACATATGTTTGTATATATATATATATATATATGTATATATATATATATATGTATATATATATATATACATATATATATATACATATATGTATATATATGTATATATGTACAGATAGAGGGCAAAAAAAAACAGAAAGGTGGAATTTTTCAGCTACCTTGACTTGATGGAAGATTGTACTTTGAGTTGAGCAAACAGAATAGAAAGAGTAACGGAAAAATCCAGGGCAAACCAAAGTGTAAGACAATTAGAATGATATCTACCATATAATGCAGTTTGTTTACCATAGCGTGTCCAATGCCTGCGTGCTTCAGGAGAAAACAAGGGGAGGAAAAAGAAAAATAAATAATGATGAACCTTAAAAAAACTCCAGAAAGCATCCCTCAATCCCAAAAGGTTTGGGATAAAAATGCTTTTAATAGCTGCCTCTTAGTTAAAGAGTAACTTCAGCGAAAAAATCAATATGTTCATAGATAATCTGAACGCTGTTTTTCCTGTTGTTTGGTTTCAAACGTCCAAATAAAGAAATAAAGAAAGCAACTATAAAAAGTCACCATCTTTAAAAGGGTCTTCAAAACAAAGCAACAAAAGGAACTGGATACAAGACATTTGTTAGTAAGTTGCAGGTAGAGAGAAACAGATGGCACACATTCCGTGAATGACACAGTGTTAGTGTTGAAATCATAAAAGGTAAGGGACAAAGTAAGGTCACCAATGAGAATTAGAGCACATTCTGAAGCTTGTTAGTAAGAGAGACAAGAGTTAGCAAATCAACTTCCACAGGGGAAGGCGGGGCTTCAGGAAGATTTAATGGGATTTCGCTTGGATTTTGGAAAGGGCAAAGGTCATCAATATTAGTATGGACTGAGCCAGACTAGTCCGTTCGAGGACTCAAAGTCATGTCCAGAGGGCGTTCTTTGAGCTGGGTGTTGTCAGGGGGTTTGAACGACTTCAATGAGAGCTGACATTTTATATATATATATATATATATATATATATATATATATATATATATATATATATATATATATAATGTAGGAATAATACTGCATAGTGAAATTCACCAATTGTAGTAGAAATGATACTGTTTGCAGTGGTAAGGTATTGATGGCACCAAGCTTGTTCCTTTAATCTAAACAAAAACATGACACAAAAGGCAGAAATAATATAAAATAAAGTTTGTTTTTCCCATTTCTGGCAGCAGCAGAAATCTGAAAAAGAGAGAGAAACGTTCATTTGCTGTTTGGTTAAGACATGCCATTGTTAAATATATCTAGAATGAAAAACGTATCAGATCTTGTGTTTGGTTATTTCTCTCACTTTCATCTTTTTCATGCAAACATTTCATTCCTAGAATTTGTAAATGGTGAAAAAAGGATTTTTGAACTTCTTTGGTCAGCTGAGCTGTAAGACAAACTAACAAACAAGCCAGCATTCGATGGTTTTGGTCTCGTGCTGCTGTTGGGACAAACACAGTACGGATTAAATCACTAAATAAACGTCATTGGTAGTAACACTGGTATGTAGAGGCATCAACATACATTTAAACTAAACAGGACCATGCAGTAGATGATGTCAAAAGAAGTTTTAAGTCCCGCCCCCTACATATAAATAAATGGGATGTTCTAAATACAAATACGTCCTTACCCTGCTGCTGCATGTTGTAAATAAGTAATGCTTTAAGTCTTATTGTTTTATGCTTGTTGTAGATCGGACTGTAGCCCCACAGAGTACACACGGTCTGGACCTGCACATGGATGCTTTGGCTTCACTTTGAACTCTGGAAAACGATTCTAGGTCTTAATATGTAGGACTGCCCACAGACAAAGAGCTCCAAACATCTGGAGTAGAATGGAAGTTTTAACAAGGCAATATCATACTGGCTGCATGGTTTCAGTTATCAATAGATAGAAAGATAAAACGTCCCTGTCTGCTTCAGCTATTGAAGCATGAAGTCAGGATATCTGCCTGAATGAGCTGCAGTTTAGTAAATCAGAGAAAGAATGGACTGTTTGGTTTGGTTCTGCAGGGCATGTGAGCCTGGATGATTCAAGTCAGGATTTCTTTCATTCAACACTCCAAACTAAACAGCAGTTTTAATAAACTTTAACATATGCAGACTTTTTATTGGCATGCAGCCGTATGAGTGGACAGTCTAACCACAGAGGGACGTTCTTTAGTTCAAACATGTTGGGTCCATTCTTCAACATGACAGTGTCTCCCAGGGCAGACGTGGCTACAGTGTGAATGTGAGTGTGTGCATGAATGGATGAATAATAATATGCACTTTGACAGACTGTGACTCAGAAAGGTGGTATCTGTCGTATTTTATATACTTACTGTAAGCAAGTATATAAAATATGTATAAAACTACAGCCTAGAGGCTCTTTTATGGAATGTCTGGAATGCAGAACTGTCAAGTGCACAGGTGGCAGGAACGGCCAATCACACGTTAGCAAGTATCAGCAGAGCCAATAGATGAGCTTATGAATGGTTCTAATGAGAAACGGACTTCAACACAAGCAGTAGTTTTCTGCTTGGTCCTAGTGCTCCACCACTGCCTGCTGTAGCGTAACACGTGCAGGGGACACAGTCTGACTTTGGACTGGAACCATTTAGAATCACATTCAGCTTGAATATCTTTGGCTTTATGATAATATTTGTGTCGCATTGTTTAGAAAAATGATCACAACAATTACTAGAAAGGTTTGTATTAAACGTCTTTTAAAGGACATTTAATGTTCTTTAAAAGACATTCTGTAGTTTTTGGAAGTATTTGTTCATTGATGACAAAACAGCTGAATCATGAAAAACTGGCACAGCTGCTCAGACTCCGGGAGGACACAGGGTCAGGTTATCTGTTCCTTTGTGCTCAAAAAGTTGTTACTGATCCATTCTAAAAAAATGTCACATCAACTAGATTTATAGTTCATTATCTGAAAGTACCTGATTAGTTCATGAACTAAATACTTTGTTGAGTTTGATTTTCAGAATGTTATCTTCTTTGTACTTTTTTATAACATTGATGTATTGAAATACAGAGGAAGAAACTTGTGAGAACAATGCATGTTATTATAGTAAGCATCACATATTTTAACAGTAAACATTGTCACACGTGGAAAGTATCTATGTGAGTAAACCATATGGCAGGAACTCTTCTGTACTTTCATTATGTAAAAGAAGTTCACGGGACAAAAAAGGTTGGAGACCCCTGCTCTAACCCTAACCCACCTGCAAGTACACTCCTGACTCAGCTATCAGCTTAATCACAAACAAACTAAGAATAGGGGCAATCAATATAACAACAGAAAATCAATATGATACCACCCATCCATCCGTTTCCGGCTGCTTATCCGAGGTCGGGTCACAGGGCCAACACAGGGCCAGCAGCCTAAGCAGAGAGGCCCAGCATTCCCTCTCCCCAGCCACTTGGGCCAGCTCCTCCGGGGGAATCCCAAGGCATTCCCTAACCAGGTGAGAGACATTGTCCCTCCAGCGTGTCCTGGTTTCTTTAGGTCTTCTTCCAGTTGGACATGCTCAGAAAGCCTCACCAGGGAGGCTTCCAGGAGGCATCCTAATCAGGTGCACAAGCCACCTCAACTGGCTCCTCTCGATGTGGAGGAGCAGCGGGTCTACTCATTCTGGATGACCGAGCTTCTCACCCTACCTTTAAGAAAGAGCCAAGACACCCTGCGGAGAAAACCCATTTCGGACACTTGTATCTCTATCCAAAGCTTGTGGCCATAGGTGAGGGTTGGAACGTTGATCAACCGATGACTTCAGAATTGTAACACTATAAAGAAGAGGATTTGAAGGAGCCCACAGTATGTTACGTATCACAGTATGTATACAGTACACATATACGTATCACAGTACGTGTATGATACGTATCACAGTATGTATACAGTACACAGATACGTATCACAGTATGATACGTATCACAGTATGTATACAGTACACATATATGTATCACAGTATGTATACAGTACACATATATGTATCACAGTATGATACGAATCCCAGTATGTATACAGTACACAGATATGTATCACAGTATGATACGTATCACAGTATGTATACAGTACACATATATGTATCACAGTACGTGTATGATACGTATCACAGTATGTTACGTATCACAGTATGTATACAGTACACATATACGTATCACAGTACGTGTATGATACGTATCACAGTATGTATACAGTACACAGATACATATCACAGTATGATACGTATCACAGTATGTATACAGTACACATATATGTATCACAGTATGTATACAGTACACATATATGTCTCACAGTATGATACGAATCCCAGTATGTATACAGTACCCAGATATGTATCACAGTATGATACGTATCACAGTATGTATACAGTACACATATATGTATCACAGTATGATACGAATCCCAGTATGTATACAGTACACAGATATGTATCACAGTATGATACGTATCACAGTATGTATACAGTACACAGATATGTATCACAGTAGGATAGGTATCACAGTATGTATACAGTACACATATATGTATCACAGAATGATACGTATCACAGTATGTATACAGTACACATATACATATCACAGTATGATACGTATCACAGTATGTATACAGTACACATATACGTATCACAGTATGATACGTATCACAGTATGTATACAGTACACATATACGTATCACAGTATGATACGTATCACAGTATGTATACAGTACACATATACGTATCACAGTATGATACGTATCACAGTATGTATACAGTACACAGATACGTATCACAGTATGATACGTGTCACAGTATGTATACAGTACACAGATACGTATCACAGTATGATACGTGTCACAGTATGTATACAGTACACATATACGTATCACAGTATGATACGTGTCACAATATGTATACAGTACACAGATATGTATCACAGTATGATACGTATCACAGTATGTATACAGTAAACATATATGTATCACAGTATGATACGTATCACAGTATGTATACAGTACACATACACATATCACAGTATGATATGTATCACAGTATGTATACAGTACACAGATATGTATCACAGTATGATAGGTATCACAGTATGTATACAGTACACATATATGTATCACAGTATGATACGTATCACAGTATGTATACAGTACATATACACATATCACAGTATGATACGTATCACAGTATGTATACAGTACACAGATATGTATCACAGTATGATAGGTATCACTGTATGTATACAGTACACATATACATATCACAGTATGATACGTATCACAGTATGTATACAGTACACATATACATA